CTCTCTCTCTCTCTCTCTCTCTCTCTCTCTCTCTCTCTCTCTCTCTCTCGTACACACACACACACACTCTTCCCTACCCCCTCGCCGTTGTCCTTTTCTTCCTTCTCCATTGCCTCCCTTGGGCCTGGCCGATTCCATCTCTCAACTTGCGCCCTCCATCCCCCCTCCCGATCTCTTCCCCCTCCAACCAATCCAGTTTTCCCCATCCTCTTCTCCCCTTGCCCTGTGTCTTTCGCCTCTATTCTCCCGTCTTTCTCCACTCCTCTCCGCTGGGATCCTCTTGGACGTCCTGCTCTCCAATACTCGATATGGGCCCTGCGTATCTGGTACGTCTTTTCCTCTCCTCCCTCCTCTGTCTGTCGCTCTTACTTTCTTCATTTCTTTCTCTTCATCACCAGCATATCCACACCACCCTATCCCTCTCGTCCTTCAGGCCCTCCGTCACTAAGCTACTCTCTCTTTTCCTTACAATCTGTTCCCCTCCCTGCGCTCTGACCCCCTCTTCCTGCCTTCCAATCTCCTCTTCCCCCCACCTTCTCCGGATCCTTCTACCCCCACCTTCTCCGGATCCTTCTACCCTAAAGCTGCACATTCCTTACCCTATTGCGTTGGCGATCTTCCCCTGAAACTTCATCGGTTCCTACCCCCTCACCCTGATTTGCACCCCATGCATTTCGACCTTCTCCTCCTCTCTATCCCACATCCTGATCCGGCCCGTACTTTCCCTGAAACTTCATCGGTTCCTACCCCCTCGCCCTGATTAGCACCCAATGCATTTCGACCTTCTCCTCCTCTCTATTCCACATCCTGATCCGGCCCCTCCCAATCCGCGCTCCCCACCCCCTTCTTCGCAAATTGAGTCCCCGATCTATGCCCTCCTCCTCTCATTTACTTTAGGACCCTCCTCCACGTCTTCCTCCTCCACAGCCTCCTTAACGGCGGCAAACTTATCCTGCATGCTTCACCCTATTGCGTTGACTCTCCTTTTGCTTCCTCTGTCGTCGCATCCCATTCTCCTCGGTCAATCCCCAGTCTATCATCCTCCCGATCCCGCTTCCTCACCCTCCCTTTCGTCCTTCTCCTGCAGGCACTTGAACCCCCCCTAGTGTTCACTCTCCCTCTGCCTCCCCCACAAAAATGGAATTGCAGCCCTAAGCCCGGATGGATGGACGAGGGAAGGAGGGACGTAGGGAGAGAGGGAGAGGGAAAGAGGGGGTGCACTTCGCGCACGCCAGGCGAACCATCTATTTCGTTTCTGGGCCGAGTGTGAAAGAACTCTGCACCTCTTCACGCACAACACCGCGAGAGAGGGACGGAGGGAGGGAGGCGTATTAACCCTTCAGGGTCTCTCTCTCTCTCTCTCTCTCTCTCTCTCTCTCTCTCTCTCTCTCTCTCTCTCTCTCTCTCTCTCTCTCTCTCTCTCTCCGTGATGCAAACGACACGAATCATCCTAGTGACGGTACGGGTGCCTGTTATGTCGGCCAGGAGTGGAGAGATGGGGAGAGCATCTTAAGAGTACAAGAAGGGGACTAAGGGAAGAGGGAGAGCGAAGACGGATTGAAATTGACCCACCAGGCGAAGAAGCAGCCAGCCTGCAGAAGAGGGTGAAGCATGCTCGTTGCCTACCTCATGCCCCCGATGAAAAGCGCACTACCGGTAGCACTGCCAACACCAGCTCCACCCCGGCGTCAGACGCAAACCATCCCCTGGACAGAACCGCTGCGCCCGGCCAAGCTTCCCTTCCCGCTGCACATGGCAGACACGTGCTGCTGAAGGTTCTGCGCTTCAGCACGATCTGCATTCCATCGCCCGCCAATTCTCGCGCGTCTGCCGCTGCCACGTCAATTTTGCCGGCTGGATGACGCGTGTATGATCGGTGAAGAAACTTGGCGCTTTTTCCCCCCTGTCCGACAACAGAAACTACCCGCGGTATCTCGGTATATTCATTCCAAATTTGCTTGTCCCAGTTACCTATTCAATCACTGCAGTCTATTTTACTTCCCTATCTACCCTTCAGCTTCTTCTACCCCCTCACAATACCAAAAATTATACCCATATATTCCTGCTCCCTAATTGACAGACCTATTTACGGTCCTCTCCGGCCGGTTGGAACCTTTTACAGAGCGACGTGAAACAACCGAACCAGGGCCTTCTCCTTCCCCTACCAGAGCTTGGTGCCACAGCACTGCGCGCCAAGCTTTGCCGAACCTCCAGCGGCGGTGTACTTTTTTCTTGTTTGGCGGTGCCAACGGCGTAGGGCGTACTCACACAGCGGTGGCAGTCTAGCAAAATCTGCTGAATTTTCTTTCCCATGTTTGCTGAAATCAGACCCCGAACGGGGCTAGGTCCCACTTGCACGAATTAAGAGATACTGACCGTAGATAGCAAATATCAACGGCCGAAATCTCCTAATTTGCGCAAGTGGGACCTTGCCCCCCGTCACACAGGTTGCAAATCAGAAAGGACACGAGCGGGACTCTCTGGCAAGTGCAAAAGTTGGTGCCTCGCATGGTCACAAAGCGCGGCGACTTTTACCGATTCCCAAAAGGCGAAAGAGAATTTGGCACCACCTCTGGAGGTGGTAGCAAAATGCCCATCCCCGCGGCCCCCCAGGGACCTGGACCCATTAGCGAAGTATTCTACCACTCCGTTCAGGATTTCGATCGCGTGTGGCCTCGAGTGACGCAGTACGGCCGTCGACGGCCTGGTAGTTTCCGAGCAGGGACTGTAAAGATGCCCACCTCCGTCCAATGAGATGCGTCAAGAAAAAAAGAAAAACAAACTTGGACATGATAGCTTGTGGCTTTGCGTGGGCGGGAAGCCTGGATTTTATGGACCCGAAAGGGGGGGGTTGATTTCCAGACTTCGTTTTTTTTGGAGGGGGGCTCTGAGAAATGGAACTTGAAATGTGAAATTCAAATATTGTGGTGGATCTGATAGGAACGCCTCCTGTATGGACCCGAAAGGGCGGGGTTGATTTCCAGACTTCGTTTCTTTTTTTTTTTTGGCTCTGAGAAATCGAACTTGAAATGTGAAATTCAAATATTGTGGTGGATCTGACAGGAACGCCTCCTGTCTCTTATACACATCTAGATGTGTATAAGAGACAGGTTAGAGGCCTCATGAGATACATGGTGACCCCATACCCGTTACTTGTTCATCCTCGTGGCTGTGTTCGTGGACACATTTTATTGCCACGGTACATCACTATGAAGACTTACGTGAAGGAGATCGTACCAACCCATGAATTTGGGTGCACAGCTGTTCTTCTTTGTTCAATGTTCCATTTCAATTCATTTTAAATTAGAAAATGATCCATTCATGAAAATAAAAAACCACTTTGTCTTTTTCAAAAAGCCATAAAATTGCGTCGCACATGGTAGAATACTTTGCTAGTGTGGGTCCAGGCCCCAGGGCGCTGACAAATGTTACCCCGATTGCAATTTTGGTGGTCGGAAACCCCTAGTGTGACTATAACAGCATAGCAGATTTTGCAATTTAGCAAAAAAAAAACGCTAGTGTGAGTATGCCCTACTTTTTTCTTTTTCGGTGGCGCTAACGGCGTACTTTTTTCTTTTTGGGCACGTCAACGGTATACTTTTTTCTTTTTTTGTGACGTCAACAGCGTACTTCTTTCTTTTTTTGGCTGACGCTAACAGCCATTGTTGTCCGCTAGAATGCTCCACCACCATCGCACATCTAAAAAAAATAAATGTGGGACTACCGCTCGCCGCGCCGTCAAAACTAGTACCACAATTGTGCAGCAGCAGCACCAGCTGCTCACACACCATAACATAAGGGCCCACTATACCGCAAAAATTCGGCAACACTTCCCCTCAAAAATAAAGTCACCGATGCGCCCAAAATTTTGCAGCATGACCCCACTGAAAATGTCGCCGTCATCATACCGTCACCCTGGCAGCATCTCCCCAAATATACGAAATGTTGACACCACGAGGTAAATCCGATAGCATAACCCCACTCAAAGGAACCACTCAAAGGGAGGTTTTAGTCTGTCGCACCGCTGCAACCAGCCTAGGGCAAAGCCCCGGTTCCACAAGGTAGTCCCTGGGGCAATCCCACATGCGCATCACCACCCTAACGCTGAGCCAGAGTGCCCCCAGCGTCGGCTATGGTTGCCTCGCTCCTCACTCCACTCTCCTACAGACCACCCTCTCACCCTCTGGCACCAACACCTCCAAGCAGCACTTCATCAACGTAGTGTAGCATCTGGCCAATACTTTGGTGTAAATAAGATTACATTCTCCGGTGAATAGAAGATTGCGTTGGGGATCTTCAAATTCTTCATATGAGAAAATAATAACTTTGGATGGCCGAATGAGCTGTACGTGGTAGATAGGAGAGAATGTGGAAGAATAAGAGGTAATAATGGCGACAATGATTGGTAGAGGGATAACGAAGTGTATGCCATGGGCACTGCATCCTGGTAGGTTGTGTGACAATGCAGAATGGACCGAATTACAAACCGCACTGAGCTGGTGTTGCAATCACGAACGAAGTTGAGTCATGGTTGCTAGCAGTGCGACCTTCCGCTTATTGTCCTCTTCTCCCTCTCTGTCTTCGATTCACCACGCAATCCTTTTTAACGACAAACACTACTTCAAAATCCTCTTTTAGTTTGTTTTATTTTATTTAGTTTTGTTTCATGCATCCACTATTGCGGCCACGTACATGCAAATAAATCGCGAGTTTTTTATGATTGCATTCGATGTCTCCGAGAAGGAAAGGATAGGAGAAGTGACAAACAAAAAATAGTTAGAGAAAGAAGAAGAAGAAGAAGAATTGAATTGAAATAGCGAGGCCAATCGCTATGCGTCCATGCTTTCAACGATAAGCGATGAAGTTCCTACATGGATTGTGCTCAAACGCGCACATTCCCCGACGCGTTTCGCCTGGCTGCGCACCAGGACTTATCAAGGGGCAACCACACCTAGGCTCCCGCATCCACTGAAGCAATCCACCCTGAGCAAAGAGGACCTTTCTGGCCTTGTCCTCCCGAGATATACAGGAGACTGACTGTAACTGACTGGTTGGGTCACGGCTTGTCTCGCTTGCAACTGACTCGGCGTGCACTCACGCTCGTCCCTTCTTCCCGCCTACCTCACGTGTGCGCCCTGCGTGCGTCAGAACCTCGTACTGCACGTGCACCGGTCGGTGGTAGGGACTTGACGCTGCGTAGTCGGCCTTCTGGGCCTTAGTCTTCCTCTGTACCGGGTCAATATCTCCCGTTAGATATTATCCAGTCTGAAACGGCCCTCCTGTTAACTGGCTCCGACTACTGGCCTTAGTACCAGTTGCTTCGACCCTACCCTCCCTACTTCCGCTAGCACTCCCCTGGTTGGCCTGCTTCCTTTCCCCGTGCCTACCCTTCTCCTGGCCTCCCCACTGCTACCAGTTACAACTACCTGCGGCCACTTCTACTACCAGTTCCTGTTCCGTCCCGATAGACTCTATTGTACAACCCAGTCTGCGGCTCTATAAGCTGGGAACCCTCCTCCCTCGCTAACTACTAGTAGTGTACAACCTACTCATCCAGGCCTCGTCACTTTCACTACCTGTAATACTGCTCTGCCACTCACCCTTTCAACCCCGTTCCTAGTCATTGCCGGGGTATTCCTTTCACTTGCCTAATGTACAACCTGGCTCTACCCAGGCCCCCTTCCTCCCATATTCCTAACCTACTGCGTTGTCCCTGCCTCCACCGCACCTGCCTACTGTTCTGTCATGTGTACATTTCGGGCCCCGGTATCGAGCCCCATTATACGGTATACCTCCCCCGCTCTCTCTCAATGAGCCGCCGTCCATGTGTACGGGCTTTTTCACTTCATCCTCCCTTCCTTCCTCCCATAGGGGTCCTCCTTGCATCAGTTTAACCGGCTGTTCGGCCAGCGTCTTCAATGCTGCTCCAAACGGGCCGGTGGATCTGGCAAATACTGGCAGAGCATTGGAAAAGAGCGTCGGGGGATACCCCCAGCACCCCAAC